GCTAAGTTACAGAGTTGCACCACCTTGCTCCAGCACCGGTCAACATTGAGATTGTCACCGCAAACAGCCCCCCAGATGTCTCTACGAGGCCTTACCCCCCCACTAAGCTAGGTCACAGAGGTGCTCCACCTGGCTCCGGCTTCGTCCAGCGTTGCTCCAACATCGGTATTCGAGGGCCACCAAATTTTCGACCACCCTACAAAGGATCATAGATGACTTGCCAGATAGCACCAGGTCCTATTCCTACAAACTCCTCGAGAAGCAAACCAAATAGAAAAACTAAACTGGATGTTAGGATTCTTTGAGAAAGATCACCCCTCCCTCCCCCTAACCCTCCCCCTTCAGCCCTACACTACCTCCGCAAAGGCAAGCCTCTCGCTCTCCCTCAGCCCCAATATATGACCAACCCTCGGCCCCTTTTCCTCAGGGGCATGCAATTCCCACCTAAAACATGCTTCTCTGATCCTTGCCCATTTCTGCCTCGGCGGGGACTGATTTTGACCCACACATCAACCCTTGCCCCAGAATAGGGCAAACCCCTACTCCGCCCCAACCCTCTTAAGTTTGAGACATTCAGCCCCCACCTTGTGATGTCCCTGCAAGATAGAGCTCCCCCCTCCCTCTCCTTACAGTTCAACCCATCAAAAGCGATCCGATCCAGTCGACTATATTAAAATGTTGAACCACTTCATGCAAATCCGGAAAAGCAGAGCCTCTTCAAACTTATGCAATAAAAAAAAAAAAAATACCCTGCATCTTTAAGATTAACCCGCTGAAGAAAGCGCATGGCGGTAGTAAGGCTATCAGAAATATTGCCTTGCCCTTTGGGCCAATCAACTTTTGGCAGCTCCCACCACTTGCACCTATCACCAATTTAAAGAAGCAAAAACTGATTATCGGAGAGGGTCTTTTATAATTTATGACTATAATAGTAGAATTCGAAAGTTTTCAGTTTCAAAATTAGAAAATCATGATAAAACCTCACTTAGGACTTTTATAAATTGTAGTCGGAATTCAAGGATACGTAATTATAGTACAAATCCATACGAATTGAGCTAGCGATTCAGAATGGATGATAACCTCATAGGGATTCCGTAAAGTTTCAAATGCTTAGTGACCAAGAGCATATGTTGTTGTATGTATGTATGTTTGTGTGTATGTGTGTGTATGTAGATGGTAATTTAACTAAACTAAAAATAGAAGATAAAAATTAGGAGTTTATTTTGGGAAAAGTTATAGAAGCTCCCAGCCGCAAGACCTTTGTATCCATATCTCCCCAAAATGGATTTGCTGCATTTGAGGTCCCCGAATAACTTTTTTGTAATTCTTGCTTCCCGGTAGGGCCTCACACAGGGCCTGAGGCCGCAAAAGCTGATAAGCTTGGCTCTTTTCCAAGTTTCCGTTCGGCCTGCGGCACACTTGCACTTTCTTGGATGTATCTTTCTCGAATCAGGCCCAGGTGAGGTGAAGGCCCAAGTACCTCTGACCGTATTGGGCCCGTAACCCTCGCAATGT